TCGATCTCGTTCCTTGACTGCGCCTGAGTGGTCTCCATACCACAGAAAACAATTCCAGCTTGAAACTCCCATTTTCCGAACTTGAACCGCATGCTAAGGGTCTGAACTCGGTCCAGGAACGCGCCCTCGCAGGCCTGCTCGTCGGTCAGATCGGCCTCGCACTCCAAGTTCTCGCCGCCACCGATGAAGTCACCCACGTGTAAACCCAAAACCCCGTCCAGGACGCAGTTCGGCCGTCGTCCGCGCCCCACGCCAGGAACAGGTAATCGCCGTCTGCCGCGTTACGGCATGACAGGAAACAGCACCGATCCAGTTGATGTCGCAAAGACCCGACGTCGATCATGGCCTCGGCAATCGTCTGATTCCACTGCCTTGGGGCGCGAACATCTCCAAAAGCTGGCTTTAGCACCCGCAAAATCTCGCCGCCCTTCAGACCCATCATCTTCGCCAACCTCCTTCGGATGTCCTTCGTCGGTCTGCTGAATACACGCACTCCTTGCCCACGAATGTCCTTGGCCCGCAGAAATGCGCTCATCTTCCACGACTGCTGACACAGGATGAGTAGGATGAGGTACCTCGCGAGAGCCTCGTCAGCGTCGGGCTGGCCTTCTCCACGTTCGTGCTCGGCACCTCTTCTAAATGGAACCCTTGTAGAATGACTGGAGCGCTGGCCTCTCGAACTCCGCCCTTCATCTGCCACTTCAGCAGAAGACGCATAGGACAGACTTCACCAGCTCCCGCCGTAGACTCGCTGACCGCTCGCCATGCCTGGTTCTCGATCCAGGGCATCAGCGCCTAGGTCATGGCCTCGTCGAACTGCTTCTTTTCGTCCGTCGTGAACCTGGCTTCCACTACCGCGTCGCGCTCCGCCGCGTTCGCCAGGTAGATCGTCTCCTCGCCCTCGTACAAGAGCAGCAACTCGTCGTCACCAGTATCCATTCTAGTAGTCTGCGTCTCCATCGGCATGATCCTCGGCCTCCTCGTCAACGGTCTGAGCCCGTCGAACCGCCTCGCCGCGTTGATGCTGTCCAACAGCTCGCCCCTATCGCCCGCCTTTCGCTTCTCCGCCTTGGCCCCCCGCCCAACGGCTTCTGCTTTCTCTCGGCCAGGGGCCTCGAGATTAGATTCACGCACACCATCGGCTTCCGGCACATCAGCTTCCGGTCGAGACTCGCCTGCCGCAGCCCGCGGCTGCGCCTCCGTCTGCGCATTCGCGAGTGGTTCGACATCGTCATCATTATGCTTATCCTCGTCGGGTTGAGCCTGCTCGTCGCCCGGGCCCGCCGCCTTGCCGTCGGCATCCACGCCCATAGCGTCCACGCCCATTCCTTAATGCTGTCCGTCATCCACGCGGCCCTCTGGATCACCGAGCGCCTCGCCAACGCAATCCTTGTACTTGATAGACCCGGTCGCGTTCTTCAGCCTCTTGAGCAACCTCTCCGCCGTCGACAAAGGCATACCGAAATCGTCATTTTGATATTCTCTTTGCCGTCGCTCCTCCGGTAGCTCTGGCCCCAGCAACTCATGCGTCGCCCTGAGCGGCGCGTTGTTACGCACGCACCAGATGACTGACTGCCTCAGCTTGTCGGGGTCGCCCGCATACTCGACCTGCGTGACCATCGCAGGCCCCTTCCAGTAACTCTTGAACAAGTCGCTCTCGCCCTTGTCTCGCCTCCAGAAATACACGCACTCGCCGATCTGGAACTCTTTGGCCAGAGGTCGGTTGCGAGCCGCCAGAGCCTCTCGCACCGCCCTTGACATATTCGCCGCGAAGCACGCCTTGGCCGCGTCGCGCCTGCGCGCCATGTTCTGGTAGAACTCCTCGTCGTGCTCCCCGAGGTCGCCCATCGTCGTCGGCTCGTCCGCCACGTTGCCCAGGTCCTTAGGCTGCCGCCCAAGCGCGCGCTGCGCCGGCGTGAATCCTCGAATGTTGCGTAGCCGATTTCTCATGTCGCAGGTCATGCGTACGGTCACCTTTAGGCTGTCGCCCGGTCGATCTTCATAGTACTTCGCGATCTGCTCTCGCCGTGCTCGGCGATTTCACTCGAGAATCCCGAGTCGGCGGTGAGCGCCCCTCAGTATCAGCTGCAACTGGATCTGCCTCGCGTCGCACCGCTCCGAAAACTCCTCACTCACATGCGCTCCACTTTGGTCAGCTCGAATCCCTGCGGGCGCGCCTGCCCAGTTGACCCAGTTAGTCTCGATCGCCTTGATCACCGTCTTTGCCTTCTCGTCCTCCACGACCGCGTCGACCTCGCACCTCGAGCTCTCCTCCATAATGGTGAAAATTATGCTAGCGGAGTTCCCCACATGGGCGCTTCAATAAGGCGCGGGCTTAATCAGGCGGGGCCTCCCTGGAGCCATGGGAGGGGCACGAAACCTAATAAATAGTATGGTTTGCGAATACTGCCCTCGCTCTGGCGGCGCCTCCCTGGAGGGGTGGGAGGGGCACGAAACTTGATAAATAATATCGTTTGCGAATAATGCCCTCGCTCAGGCGGGGCCTCCCTGGAGGGGTGGGAGGGGCACGAAACCTGATAAATAATATGGTTTGCGAATACTGCCCTCGCTCAGGCGGGGCCTCCCTGGAGCGCTGGGAGGGGCGCGCAACCTGATAAATAATACTGTTTGCGAATACTGCCCTCGCTCAGGCGGGGCATCCCTGGAGGGGTGGGAGGGGCGCGGAACTTGATAAATAATACGGTTTGCGAATACTGCCCTCGCTCTGGCGGGGCCTCCCTGGAGCGGTGGGAGGGGCGCGAAACCTGATAAATAATACTGTTTGCGAATACTGCCCTCGCTCAGGCGGGGCCCCCCTGGAGATGCGGGAGGGGCGCGAAACTTAAATGGTTTGCGAATACTGCCCTCGATCTGGCGGCGCCTCCCTGGAGCGGTGGGAGGGGCACGTAACCTGATAAAAAAAATGGTTTGCGAATATTGCCCTCGCTCTGGCGGGGCCCCCCTGGAAGGGTGGGAGGGGCGCGAAACCTGATAAATAATATGGTTTGCGAATATTGTCCTCGCTCAGGCGGGGCCTCCCTGGAGGGGTGGGAGGGGCGCGAAACCTAATAAATAATATGGTTTGCGAATACTGCCCTCGCTCAGGCGGGGCCTCCCTGGACGGGTGGGAGGGGCGCGAAACTTGATAAATACAATTGTTTGCGAATACTGCCCTCGCTCAGGCGGGGGCCCCCTGGAGCGGTGGGAGGGGCGCGAAACCTAATAAATATTATGGTTTGCGAATACTGCCCTCGCTCTGGCGGCGCCTCCCTGGAGGGGTGGGAGGGGCGCGAAACTTAATAAATAATATTGTTTGCGAATACTGCCCTCGCTCTGGCGGCGCCCCCCTGGAGGGGTGGAGGGGCACGAAACCTGATAAATAATATTGTTTGCGAATACTGCCCTCGCTCAGGCGGGGCCCCCCTGGAGCGCTGGGAGGGGCGCGCAACCTGATAAATAACACGATGCGAATACTGCCCTCGCTCAGGCGGGGCCTCCCTGGAGCGCTGGGAGGGGCGCGCAACCTGATAAATAATACTGTTTGCGAATACTGCCCTCGCTCTGGCGGGGCATCCCTGGAGCGGTGGGAGGGGCACGAAACCTGATAAATAATATGGTTTGCGAATACTGTCCTCGCTCAGTCGGGGCCTCCCTGGAGCGCGTATGGCATGGTATGGTATAGTATGGTATGATAGGAATAGGAAGAGGGGGGCGAGCGTGGTAGGTAGGTATTGCATGGTATTGCATGGTGTGGTAGGTATGCGGTGATGGTGTATGCATGGTCTCCTAGGTGTGGCATGGTAGGTACGGTGGTCTGCTATAGTATGGCATGGTATTGTATGGTATGGTATAGTATGGCATGGTAGGAGTAGGAAGAGGGAGCGGTATTGCATGGCATGGTTTAGCATGGCATGGTAGGAATAGGAAGAGGGCGCGGGAGGTGGGAAGGCGGGAAGGTGGGAAGGTGGGAAGGAGAGGGTGTCCTGGGAAGACAAGAACCCCACTCAGGATGTGGGGAACTAGCTTGCGCTCACCGTTCCACCTCACGTGAAAAAAAGTGTCGATATCAATCGCGCCGTTGAAACCTCGGTCCTTCGGAATCCCCTGCGATCCTCACAGGCTTCGGCCTCTGCCGCTTGAAACGAATCTCACATATGTAAATCCGCGCGCAGCTCACCAGACGGTCGCCCGCGCCCATCTCCTCGAGCGCTGCTGCCAACGCCTCGCACGATGCATGGCCCATCTGCACACGCACCTTCTAGACCCACTTCACCTCGTCAATCGTGAACTTATCGAGTATAGTTTTGCGCACTTCTTTGTGCTCGACCTAGAACTCCTCTTGCACCATTTCTTCCACCGCGTAACTCGACTCGCTCCGGGGATCGTCCACGATGCAAGCAGCTGTCTGAAACGCCATACTTCTCGGGTATTGTCTACTCCGCGCACGTTGCGAGCTCCTTCCAGCATAACGTGTTTCTCCTTACAACTGCAGCGCCTCCAGTCCCTCGTGCATCTTGAACTCGGTCGTCCGCGCGTTCGTAGGCTTCTTGGTCGGTCCTATCTTGTGCCCTTCGCGGCCCAGCGCCTTCAACCCGCACGCGCACTGGTCCACGAACGTGTCGTAGCCTTCCATATCCTGCCAGACGTCCTCCTTCCACGACGCAGCATACCTCGGGTGCTCCAGATGCGCGTTCCGCTCGTCGTGCAACTGCGCGTCGTAGATGTCCCCGCTGAACTTGAGAAAATTATTCTTCTGCTGTTTCTCGCTCTCGCCTGCGCTGCTGCCTGTACCTGTTATCTTTGCTCGCGTCGGTCAACGCGTTGATCGTAGACCACAACTTACATGGCGGTGAAATCCATACTTCTTCTGGCCTCTCACGTCGTAGCTTCTCAAAAAAACGCTTGTCGATGTGACTTCTTCGTGGAAAACCAGCCAGTATCCAAAGTGGACTTATCCGCTTTGAAATCGCCGCGCTGCTCGACACACTGCGAAATCCGGCCTTCGTTGACAAAGATCTCCCAAAACTTGCGCTCGACCTTCGCCTTCTCGTCGAGCGTCTTGTTCGCTTTCACAAACAAGTCCTTGAGCTGCTCGGCGTCAAAGCCTGTCGTATCCGCATTCTCCTTCTCTTCGCCATGCGTGCCGGTCACGTAGAAATCCACTTCCCTGTCGCTCTCGACCTCGCGGTCTCCGTCCGCGTCGGCGCCCGTCGAGCTAGACTCCTCTTTGACCTCCAGCGCGTCCTCAGGGAGGCTCAGAAGGTCTATGATCACGTGGCCTTTCTCATATGTCTCGATGTCGCCCCACGTCTGCGGGCCCTCGCCCAGGCACATCGCCTTCCTGTTTCTGCAGTCTACCACGATGCCCCATTCTTCGAGACACGGCCTCGCCATAAGTAGCGGTACCTTGCCTGGCACCAGGTACATCGTGATCTCGCGCTTCATCTTGCGAAAACAGACCGGGAACGTAACCATCTGCTTCGCCGTTGCTGTAGCGTCCTTGCCAAAGCTGAATGTCTTCTGGCACCGCTCCGTCGTGATCTGGTCGGCCATGCCCATGTCCGTCAGCTTCTTACGCCACTTCGGCCACTCGTCGAGTCCCATGACTGGTTCTGTTGCTCCACTGTCGCCAACTTCTTTTCCCGTAACCAAACTCACTTCCTGAACCCTGGTCCATGCTGTTGTGTAGATCCCGTGTGCGTCGTCTTCGGGCTGCCGTCGAAGTGTCTGCCGCCTTTGCCGCCTCCGAATGGTGGTCGTCCGCTGTATCGTGCTTTCCTTCATGAGCAGCCCTCGCCTTTCCGCTGCTGCTGCGTCCTCTTCCTTTCGGCGGCCTGGCGTTACCTGCTCGCGGCGGCGGGAGTCCGCCACCACGCTTCTCGGCGATCAGCGCCACCGCGGGGCAAAATCCACGAGACTTCGCCAACTCGTTAATCTTAGCTCGGGCCTCCGCGTACGCCGCGTAAGCCTCCACGGTAGCCTCGCAGGCGTTCTCCAGCTCCTCCGGCACGTCTTCGTCTTCCTCGTACCACTCGTCGTCTTCTTGATTGTCCTCGTGCGGGTCGTATTCATCCTCGTAGCAAGCCTCATCATCTTCACCATAGTAGTCCTCCATCCAATATCCTTCTTCTCGAACGACTCGTCCATGATACGTGCTGTTCGCTCGGTCGATGTCCTTCTTGTGCGCCACGCTGTCGCCTCCAAACATCGTCTTCAAGCTCTAACTACCTGTATCGTCAACCTGTTGTTGCACAGCGCTTTGAGCCTCGGTACGGTACTTGCCACTGTGGAATCGCCGCACGATTCATCAGATGCCATCCTGCCAGTAGGTCCGGTAGCTCGAGTCCAGCCTCGCGCAACTTCGGTAACTCCTTGCCGTGCCTGAGCACGTACGCGTTGAGCGTCTCCTTCGGCTGCCTCGAGAACTCTCCGAAGAATCCGTCGCACCTGCCTGGCAGCTCGACCTCCTGGGTGTACCTGTACAGCACGTCCAGCTTCACGAATATCTCATCGAATGCCTCGGCGGTGCCCATCCTCTCGAAGCTGATCTCGTCGCAGGCGTCCCACGCATCGCCCGTCAGGCTCTGCAGGAAAAGGTAGGCGCCCTCGCTTATCACAGGCGCGCCTCTGCGCGCACACAACCTCTGGAACACCGTCGTTCTCCGTCGAAAATTCCTGTAGGTTGCGTGGCTAAGGTCCGTCGCGTCCGGGCAGCACTTCGCCAAACCCGCGAACATCTGTGGTGGCCGCTCACGTCGTCCACCACCTCCGACCAGCTCGCTGTCGTCGTCATCTGGTACTCGCTGCTCTCCTCGGTCCTCCACGCGACGTTCCTCCTGGCCGCGACCACCTCCGTCGCCGCGACCGCCACGACCTTCACCTCGTCCGCGTCCCGGTCCTGGTGGACCAGCAGGCCGCATCTCTCGACTCTGATTGGAAAGAATCAAGAGCGGACTTTATCGTTCAGGCCGTGGACCTGGAGCCGTCGGCTCCGCTACCAATGTCTGTAGAACACAACTGAACCACCAAAGTTTGACCACACAAAATTTCAAACCGAATACGAAATATAATTGATTGTGATCGATAAGATCCGCTCGTAGTTTTTATCAGCTCAGGGGCCCCTACGAACAGTTTGAGTCAAAACAGGCAGCGGGCGCGCACACACCTACGCACATATATATATATATATATATATATATATACTGCAACAAGCAAGCAGCACACACACACACACACACACATGCACACGCTAGCAATCATTACATCATGTTTAGCAAACTACATTGGAACAGATCTGTGCCATTGACACTCCTCCTCCTCCTCCTGCTCCTCCTCCTCCTCCTCCTCCTCCTCCTCCTCCTCATCCTCTTCCTCTTTTCCCTTGCTGCCCCCATTCCTCCCCACCACGACTCCACCCCCCATGCTCACCTGCGTCATACACCCCACAGGACCCATCAATCATGCTGGCTAACCCTCGCAAGCTCCGCGCACAAGAAATGTCGCTGTCCTGCTTCGGCGTCCTGGCAAGAGCCGGCGCTGCGCTGCCTGCGGACATACCCCTCGCTCTCCCGAGTGCGGAAGTCCTACTTGCTTAGGCGCCACGTCCACAGGATCAGTCAGCATCGAATCCAGAAATCAGACCGAGGTGGACTCAGCGTCGGATCGGATGGGGGCCAGAATGAACAACAGCGCCATGCAAGCATCGGGCCGCATCGGATCGTCGGGATGTCGGAATCGAATCGGATCGGGCCGGCCAGAATCGATATCGAATCGGATCGATCGGATCGAAAAGGGGTATACCCCCCCGACTGGCCAGAACCGATTCTTCATCGGTTTATGGATCTTCCCATACAACGTCCTCACCGAATTTCGGAGACCAGAGTGACGAAGGCACCACCCGAGGACCATAAGCCAGACCCGTCTGCCGCACTAATTGCAGGGCGGAAGTGCGTGTGAAACGTACTCTTGCAGGTAATCGCGCGGAGCACGTCCACTATGAAGCACCTGCCGCCCGCAACGATGAGAGGGGACTTGGAGCGCCACGAAAGCTCTCCGCACCATCCCCCCTGTGAGGGCCTCAGGGAGCGCCAGGGCCTGAAGAGACTCCTGAAAGTTACCCTGGAGGTCCTGTCGGAGGCTCCTGGAAGCATTCCATCTCTACATGCCCTAGAGCCGTGCTCCGTCTGGCCATCCTGCGAGAGGTATCTGGCGGCAAGGAGCGGCACAAACTCCTGGTCGCCTCGACGTCCGGGAGTGGCTCGGGGTGGACGACACGGGGGATAGCAAAGGGAAGGTGCGAAGCAGCTACAATGCAAATACACAAGGGGGCGGCACCTCCACCGCCGCCCATGGTGCGCTCCGCGCGCCAGGGAGGGGGTCCAGCGCCGATCCCAGAAATCCGCGACAACCTCTGAGGGTTTGTGTTTACGCAATTGTTTCTTCTTCTATCTTCGCCTAATTGCAGCTCCATGCGGCCGAGGACGGAATAGGAGTGCAGGCAGGATGGGAGTGCGAGGCGGCGCCGGGCAGGGAGGGGGGCGGAAATCAGCGCCGATTCCGAGACGTTACTCTCTTTTCTGTCGCGGACCCGGCGAACGCGCAGGCCGGTCGGGCAGCTCAGGGGCACTGAGCGGCGGATTGAGCGCCGCGCGGGAAGGGGAAAAAGAAATGCAGGGCGGGCGCGGAGAAGAGGGAGGGAAGGGCGGCCACCTCCGACTGTGTGGGTCTCCAGGGGGCGCGCTGCGGCCCAGGCGCGTCCAGGTGCGTCCAGGTGCGGCCCAGGCACAGGTGCAAAGCCAGCCGGCGATCCGAGCAGGCTCGAGCAAGGCTGGCATGCAACGTCAGGTGGCGGGATTGCGGCATTGCTCGGACAAGGTCCTGGGAGTGCTGCAGCGCGGGGAGAGTATCCAGCCTTGCCAGGTGCGAAAGAGCGAGGGCACGAAGCCCGACCGTGGCCCGAGGACGCCGGTGGGAAATCTCGACCTGGGAAAGAGCTGCTGTAGTCCCAGGAAAGCGTGAAGCGAAAAAAAGGCCCGTGTCCACCCAGGTGCGCAGTGTCAACCTCCAGGGACGGCTGCGGGGCTCACCTCGCCCGCGGGACCAGGGGTGCCTGCTGCGACCGGGGGGGGGGGGGGGCGAGAAGGAGAGCGGGAGGAAGGAGGGGAAGGGGAGCCGCCGCCACGAGCAGGTGCCACGCAAGGACCTCGCGCGGCGGCGGGCCAGCGGCGCGACGGGCGCCAGGCAGCCTGGGGCTGCCGCGCTGCTGGGCTGCCGGGCGGCCGAGGCCAGGGCGGAAGCCGCGTCGCGCGCCACCGGTCGCCAAGAACGGGATGGCTCCCGGGGGGCCCGGGAGACGGCAGAAAGCAGCGGGAGCATGGTGGCGTCACGCGCCACCACGAGCGGGATAGCTCCTGGGGGGTCCACGCTGAGGGAAAAAGCGGCTGAAACTTCAGAATGACCACCAGGGTCGGGATAGCACATGTACAACAGATGGCATGAAAACCCCAGGGCCAAGTAGGCTCCCAGTGCAACAATAGCAACCACTACGGGACGGCAACAAGCCGCGGTCACCTGAGGAGAACGCTGGACAGCCTCAACAAGTAAAGAACAGTCCATGGACGATGGAACTTCCAAGCAGCCGCTTACGCCAACGTCCACCCTGCCCAAATGTAACCCAGCCGTTGCCCCGCGACGCAGCTGCACGAAACGAGCGCGACATCGGGGCCAGCTGCTGAAAAGGCTGGCGGGCTCGGGAGGGGGCCACATACTGCGAAGGCCAGGAGTAGCGAACCAAGGAAAGGGCTGACGGGCACGCGACTCGCGTGGTGTCGCGCACGTGGTGCCGCTGGCGCTGCGGTCGCGTGGATCAGCTGGACTTCGGTGGTGCGCCAGCGTCATCGGCGCGTCCAGGCCTGCGGCGCACCGCCACGCCCGCTGTCGGAGCCTCCTGACACTTCCCGTGGGGGTGTCGCAGCATCGCGGCCCACACCATCACGTCGCGCCCGAAATCAGGGAGGTCGGAGAAAGACAAGGCAACCAACCCTGGGCCAGCTCCGAAGGTCAACTGTGGCGCGGCGTGCCCGCGTCTTGCTTCGCGCACAAAGCATGCCATCCACTGACGAAGCTGGAACGAGCGTCCTCCTGGAGACGCCTGAGGCAATCGCCAAGCGACTCGTGAGCCAGGGGCTACCATCACGTCTTACGACACGGTCGCTTGTACGGCATGTCGACCCCAGTAGTCCGAGAACTCATTCGCACCGAGGCTTCACCCCTGGCTTCGCAGCAGGGCAGTCGCCAGGCGAGACGTCGGCATCTGCTCCCTCCGCGCCAGTGCCGGCCACGTCCGTCCAGCGTTGGCGCCGAGCGGGGCTGCCGCGGGCGGAGGCTGGGTCGCAGGCCGCCGCTGAGACCAGGGCCTGGCCGAGCCTCGGTCGCCAACGGTGGGCCCCAGGGTGCTCGGATGCATCGATGGAAGCAGCGTCGAGCAAGGCGCCACGCGGGTATGATTCCCGAATTGTCAAAGAAGACAATGTCGAAGTGCGGAGTTTGAAATTCCATGCCAGTAGAAGTGGCCACGGCTGGAAGAAACTAGCACAGAAAAACAAGCAGGGGCTGAAAGGAGCCTGATACAACTGGAATAAGGCCACTAGGGCTGGAAAAAACAAAAAAAACTGGACTGGCCATTTCTATCTGGCTTCCGGGTGGGTTATGCCGCTTCATTCTTCTCTGATTCACTGCCGCGACGCCCCGCTGCGACACGCTACTGGCTGGGGGCGCGAGGCCGTCTTGCAAGGACCTGCACCACCTTCGCCCAAAAAGGCTCGTCGCCACGGAGGCTCTGTGAGTGCCTGGCCACGGCTAAGCGGGCCCAGCTCCCAAACCTGCAGCGCATTGAAAGACATCAAAACTACGGTTTGTTTCACACGTTTCGGCAGTAGGGGGGAACTCGTGGGCTCAGGGGCCGCCAAAATACAACCCGAAATGGCAATAGGGCCTGGGGAAAGGGCTTCCAGGAGGAGAAGCGGCCTTAGCAGAAGGAACACGATTGAGCAGTATCCAAAGCTAGACTGACAGGGAGGCATATGTGTCTCCTTTGGTCGAGAGAGAGTGGACCAAAACAGTGCGATGTACCGAAGAGACGAGAGCCCGAGCCGCGGAAAACAAGCACCGCGGAGGATGTGATAGGAGAGCAGCCTTGTTCAGTCGTAGATCTGGTGATCACTGTCGGAAAGTCGTTGTCACGTCCACCTCCTCCTCCTCATCATCCTCCACATCTTCCTCCTCTTCCTCCTCCTCGTCCTCCTCATCGGCCTCATCCTCCTCCTCCTTCTCTTCCGTCTTCCTCCTCTTCCTCCTCGTCCTCCTCGTCCTCCTCGTCCTCCTCGTCCTCCTCGTCCTCCTCCTCCTCCTCCTCCTCCTCCTCCTCCTCCTCCTCATCATCATCATCATCATCATCATCATCATCATCATCATCATCATCATCATCATCATCATCATCATCATCATCATCATCATCATCATCATCATCATCATCATCATCATCATCATCATCATCATCATCATCATCATCATCATCATCATCATCATCATCATCATCATCATCATCATCATCATCAGCATCATCATCATCATCATCATCATCATCATCATCATCACCACCACCACCACCACCACCACCACCACGACCACACCACCACCACCACCACCATCATCATCATCATCATCATCATCATCATCATCATCATCATCAGCAGCATCATCATCATCATCATCGTCATCATCATCATCATCATCATCATCATCATCACCACCACCACACCACCACCACCACCACCACCACCACCATCATCATCATCATCATCATCATCATCATCATCATCATCATCATCATCATCATCATCATCTTCATCATCATCATCGTCATCATCATCATCATCAACAGCATCATCATCATATCATACCATCATCAGCAGCATCATCATCATCATCAGCATCATCAGCATCCTCAGCAGCATCAGCATCAGCATCATCATCATCAGCATCATCATCATCAGCATCATCATCATCGTCGTCGTCATCATCGTCATCAATAGCATCATCATCATCAGTTTCATCAGCATCATCAGCAGCAGCAGCATCATCATCATCATCCTCTTCCTCTTCCTCTTCGCCGCCTACTCCTTCTCCTCTTCCGCCTCCTCCCTCCCTCCCTCCCTCCCTCCCTCCCTCCCCCTTCGTTCTCCTCCTGCACGTCCTCTTCGTCGGCCCGCCGCCTTGTCAATTCGGTCATTGCATTGACCCGCACCTGCGCCGCCCTCCAGCGCCGCCGCACCTGCTGGCCGCGTCAGGGCACTGCGCATGGCACCTCAACAACGTGACGGCCATGTTGCTGCACAGATGGGTGCCAACGGAAAAAGTGTGCGTGTGCGTGTATCACATCATTCGTGCACTCATATTTTTTCCAACCATCATGTGGTGCTAGATCGTCGTTTTGAAGAGACCGTCTCCCCGTTTCCTTTTGCATCTCCTCCTCCCCCTCCTCCCTGCCTCTGCCCTCCGCACCAGTCAACAATTTCGGCACACCCCTCACACGCTTCGTGACCCCATAGGGTGGCCCACCCAACGCCCAAATGGTGCCGCCCGCGTGCGGTTCTGCACCAATGTCGGCAAACCCCTCACACGTGTCGTGCCCCCCCAGGGAGTCCGCCCGCATACATACGGTCCCATATAAATTTCGGCACACCTCTCACACGCTTAACGGCCCCATGGGGAGTTCCGCCCACGGCCCACATGGTGCCGAACCACATGCGGTCCCGCACCCATTTCGGCACGCGCCTCACACGTTTCGTGGCGTCATCGAGGGTTCCAGCCAACGCCAACATTATGCCGCCAGCATGCGGTCCCGCACCTACTTCGGCACTCCCCTCAGTCCCGCACCAGTTTCTGCAAACCCCCTCACACACTTCGTGACCCCACAGGGAGCCCCACCCAAGGCCCAAATGGTGCCGCCCGCGTGCGGCTCTGCACCCTTTTCGGCACACCCCTCACACGTTTCGCGCCCCGCGCCCCATGCAGAGCTCCGAGAGAGCTGAGCGTTGGGTGGTTTGCCTTGCCCGTCTGCCGAGAAGCTCTGCCGCGTCGTTCTACCCGCCCCAAGGCGCTGCCAGCGCCACGGGGGGCGGAAGCGGCGCCCCCCCACCGGTTTCAGCGCTGGGACGAGCGTGCGAATGTCCACTAGGGCAAGGAGCACTCACCGCCGATGAGCATAGCAACAACGCGCCATTCGTATACAGTTCCGCAGGCCTCTTGGTGGTTCATTTGGTCCGTTTGGGGGCTCCTTTGGGGCACCTTGGAGGCTTCTTGGGGGGCCCTGGAAGCCTCTCGGGGGCCCTTTCGGGGCCTCTTGATGCCTCTTGGGAGCCTCTTGGGCCGTTTTGGGGCGCTCTTGCGCCGTCCGGCCCCTTTAGAGGCCGTCTTGGGGGGCTCTCGGGGCCGCATTGTGGCTCTCTTGGGGTCCTATTGGGCCATCTTGGGGGGCTCTTGAGCCTTCTTGCGGCCCCTGTGGGCCATCTTGGGGCCTTCTTAAGCAGTTTTGGGAACCTATTGGGCACCTCTGGGGCCGTCTCGGAGCCATCTTGGAGGCTGTTTTGGCCGTCATGGGCCCCCCGGAATCGAAAAAGGCGAGAACGCGAAAATACTGTGAAAATCGGAAGTAAATCAATGTGTTTGGCCTCTCGAAGTTCTCGGAGGCTTGCTTGTGGCCCTCTGGGGCCGCCTTGAGAGCCTCTTAGGGCCATCTTGGGCCATTTGGGGACCGTCTTAGGCCTTCGGGGGGAAGCTGCATTAAGCCGTCTTGAGGCCCTCTGCGACCCTCAAGAGGCCCCAGCCGATACCATAGATGTTCCAATCGTTTTGGTACAGCTCTGCCGCCCCAAAAGAAAGGGGCATGTTGGTCCGCCGATGTGGCGCGACTCCAGGGGAGGAAGGTTAGGGGAGGAGTCAAAGTGATGTAAGAGAATGCAAAATGTAGCAAGTGTTTTGAATTTGGATACACTGGACACGTTGCCTTAAGGCGTTCGCCAGAAAACGCTGCCGCTCAGCACGTCACCTCTGGACGTGGATGTTCGCCAGGAGGGCCCCAAGAGGGTTCCAAGATGGCCCAAGAGCGAGACTCCCAAGTTGGCCCAAAGGGCCCCCAGGTGGACATCAAGGCGTCCAAGAGGGCCCCAAAACAATCCAGAGAGCCCCGCAAAACGGAGTCCGAAAGCACCCAGAGATCCCAAGAGCGCTCCCAGACGGCCCAAGGAGCTTCGCAGAGCCCCCGAGGCACCCCCGAGACGCTGCCAAGAGGCCCCAGGAAGCCCAAAGCGGCCCCCGAAAGGCACCCAAAAGGGCACCCAACAGGTCCCCAAGGCCTTGGACAGGCCCGAGGTGTCACGCGTGACGGCCTCCGCGCCTTCTCGAATAATCGCCACTGGGTCGCCACCCAGAATGTTGCGCTGGCACGGTGGCAGAATTGCTGGAGGCAACTGGATAAATCATACATAACCCAACCAATGAATCGTTATCAACCGTTATCAGCTCCACGGGCCGGGAAACACTGGCTCGGCAAGTACGACTGAAGAATTTACGTATGTGCATGGCCCCCCCAGGCTAAACGAACACAGCCAGGACCACCGTAGATGCACGCTCCCACAAAGGGCATCCTGTTCACATGGAGAACTCCGTCCATCTGGTCACAAGCGAGATCGCCAGAGATGCGCGCCGGCCGCGCGCCCAAGTTCGGAGGCAAGGGCACTGGTCGCCAAGCACCACGCGGGACACACACCATGCATACGGAAGGTTCCTGTCGTGACGACCTGTGCGCTGGTTTCTGGCAACGCGTCGACCGTTCAACCTTGAACGATGTCGGCTCTGCGATGGCGCAGATGATTCGATTTCGGCCAATCCTGGGCAACCGGCGGCGCTCCAACGTGAAATCTGACATCAGAAACCTGCGCGGAGCCCCGAAAATCATGTTTATGTTGTTTCTCTTCTTCACGTGTTGGCTCCTGCCCGCTGCCTGCACCCTCGCCCCGCGCGCGGAGCGCGGGTCCCGAGCCTGCGCCACATTAGGCCCAGCCTGGCGCGAGCCCGCCCCAGCGCCGAGCCCTCCTGGCAAAGCGGGCACGCACGGAGATCTTGTGGCCGACTTCGCAGAACCCTGCATCCAACATTGAAGCCTCACCCCCTGCTTCCGCCGCCCCTCCGCCAGCCTCCCGCCGGCCTCCCGCCAGCTTCCGCCAAAGGCGAAGGTGCGCCGAAGGCGAGGCCCTTTCTGGAACGCCCCGTGTGACCGCTGCCGAAACTCGTGGCCGCCTGAGCCGGCTCTCTATGCCAGAGTCCGCACTCTCTCGCTCTCGCTCTCTCTCTCTCTCTCTCTCTCTCTTTCTCCCTCGTTATCTTATTACATTTCTCTTTATATGTATTTGTTTTTCTCTCGTGCTTTCTCTCTCGCTCCCTCTCTCTGTATCTTCCTCCGTAGTCATTTTTGCTCAAGCCACGCTGGCTCAAGAGTGTCTGGCACTCAAAGCGAGCCCCGACTTGAAGCCTCTCGCTTCTCATCGCCCGGCGAGACCAGACCCGCGCCCCTCAGCGCGGGGCTGATTCGCGCCCCCTTCGATCGGTCCTTACATGCCAACGGCCGCGCCGCCATGGCGATGCAGCGCTGGCCATTTGTGCAATAACACGTTCCACCAACGGGCACTGCCTAGGCAACTTGCGTTCCCTGAAAGTCGTTTGCGTTTCACGGAGTACCGCCACGACCACTACATCCTCCACGTGCCCATCCGTGACGACCGGATCCCTCCCGTACCTCCTGCTCCATCATCCTGCGCTTTTCGAGCAGAGCTCCGTGCAGACATCCGCAGTCATCGGCACGACCTGCACCTACTTCGCGCCATCCTTCGCGGCCACCGCACTGACCTCCAAGACCTACGCGGTGTACTCCACGCCCGTGACCAAGGCCGCCGCGCTGCTCCAGCGGCCAGCCGGGCCCCCGACCAACTACTTCCACGTCGGCGCGGTCTTCGGGTTCATGGCGAGCCTCCGCGCGTCTTCGGCGCAAGCCTCGCTCCTGGCCGTGCTTTAGGCCACCGCGCCGTTACGACGGCGGGCCTGGCTCTCCACATCCACCCCAGCACCGCCCTCGGCGCCGTCGGCACGATCTTGACCACCATCGGCGCGGTCCTCACCAACGACGGCACAAACCACAGGGACGACGGCAACATCAACGGCTCCATGGGTGCGGCGGGGCTTGGCCCCCCCAAACGGGCCGTCAAGGTCATGGCATGGCGGGACTGGCCCTCCCGAGTCGGGCCACCAAGCTCGTCATTTTCGTCACTTTCGGGCTGCTCCCCCCTGCTCTGTTCCTGCGCTGTGCCCCTGCCCAAGGCACATACGCGTCGAATAGTTTTGCAGATGGCGTACCGATCTTAGTCGCGCGACCAGCTGCGGCGGCCACTGGCGACCACACAGAGCACCGCCACCTTGACCAGCACCGAGACACGGCACTGACGTCCGCCCTGACGTCCGCGCCGTCATAAGCACCGACGCCTGTTCCCCTGGCTGCAACGACGACAGCATCGCCACCAGCACTGTTGCCACCACTGACAACGCCAGCACCAGTGCCTGCGTCTACGCCGACACCAGACGCCGGCGCTCACGTTAGCACCGACGCCAGCACCGACGCCAGCACGGACGACAGCCCTGACGACAGCGCCGACGCCAGAGCGCACATCAGCACGAGCACCGACGCCAGCACCGAGGACAACACTGAAGCCGGCACTGACGGCGCCAACACCGACGCTCGCACCTACGCCGCCGATTACGCCAGCACCGAAGCCCGCACCGACGCCAGTATTGACGGTGCCAATATTGAGTTCGCCATCGAATTAGGAGGACAATCGTTCTCGCTCGCGTTCGAGATGCACCTAGCCAGCGCGCAGTGGATCTTCGATCAGCTTTCCAGCGGCAGCGATGCAGCGGGCCGCCTCCGAGGCCGGAAACGCTAGCCACAGCGACGCGCGAATTATCATGCATGTTCGGTTCATGTGCCAAATAATTATTTGCCGTTGCTTTCGTAGAGTAGTGACGCAGTCACGACGCATGCAATTTCGAATCAGAGTCAACTGCTGGTTGGCCCATCCTTCTTGCACTGCGCATAATGATAGTCTACGTTTGTATCGTACATCTATAGCGCGCTAACTGCTGGTGGACCCCACCCCCCCCACACACACACACACACACACACACACACACACACACACACACACACACACACACACACCAAGAATCGCGCGAAATCGCGCACGAGCAAAAAGGAGAGAGAAGGAGAGGAGGAGACATGGAGAAAGAGAAAGAAAGAGAGAGAGAGAGAGAGAAAAGCAAGAAAGAAATATGCAAGGCAAGAAAACAAGGTGGACGGCCCCCCACCATACAACGAACATGTCCAAACTCGTTGTTTTCATCACTCTTGAAAAACCAGGTAGGGGTGCTGGTCGGTTGCCGCCACAAAGTAGAGCCGCTCCCGTTGGTTACCTCACCGTAGATCCATGCGCGCAGCCTCAAACAGCGCGTTCGCGGGGAAACTCCACGCCCAGCTGGTCGCGCGCAATCTCGAGCGAGATGTTGGGTTAAACGTCATGCGCGGCGTATCATGCCCTCGCCATCCTTGCCGCTCGGGCACCGAGGTCGCCTTTCCCCTTTTGCCCGGGATCGCAGACGACGTCGAGAACCTTTCCCGCGGCCATTACCACGGCCTCTGCACAAAATAGCCCCTCGCATGCAGCGCCGTCGGCGGCCGTCGCGCACTGCTCGAGGTAGCCATGCTCTTGAACGAGCTCAGCAACGGGAGGGCCCGCTAGAACACCACTGGTGTATTTCGTCTTGCAGACGGAGAAGATCGCGTCGGAGTCGGCGCCACCACCGTCCTCCACGGGATTTCACCATGGAGTTGCAGTCGGAGCAGCTGGCGGCGCCGTCACTGCCGCTGCCGCAGCAGGCGGCGCCCGGGCAGTCAAGCGCCCGCGGGCGCCCTGAGCGCCGCGCGGAGCGCCCTCCCTTAAGCCTGCCTCTAGAGCCCCAGGTCGGGCTTGCACTGCCGCAAGAGCATCATCTCAAAGGAGCAGCGCAGCGTCTGCAAGGCGCGCTTCGCTCGTGCCTGGGCCGCCCATGCGCTGGACGACGTCACCTGCCGCGCGCTCGACGATGCGCCGTCGCCGCCGGGCCGCCTCCAGCGGCTGGTCGCATTCTTGCTGAGCACGCAGCATCGCGCTGTTGAGCGGTCGGAGGAGCGACGATACTTCGCGCGGAGGAACTCGCGGGGCTCTGACGAGTCGCGAACAGCGGCTGAAAGTTGCCTAGAGATTACCCGCACTGTCTCTGCCACCGCGCGAGCAACCTCCGAACGACCAAGAACGCTCTCGATGCGCTCGCTGCCGTGCGCCCGGTAATCCATCAGCTCCCGTCCTTGCTGTAATTGGCGCTCGTCTGCTAAACTCTGGAACTTCTGCGCCAGGCAGTGCAACGGGCACGTGACTGGGCCCGCCCTCACTTCGCTGACTCTGGCCCCGAGGATGATCGCGCCCGACCGGATCCCCATGCCGACGCTGCGCACCAGGCCTTGGAGACCGCGCTGCAGGGCAGCCGTCTGCGGGGATAGCGCCACGAGTCAAGAATAGACGTTGAGCAACGCACGCACCTCTCGAATCTACACGCGGTGCATACATTCGCAACGAAGTCCTAGGACGGACCCCTCGCCCGGTCGCCCTCGCGCCTCGCGCCTCCCTCCTCAACGCGCGGCCGGCGATGACGTTGCGGCGACGGCCACGAGCCAGCGAATGACACGGCCTCGGCAGCGGAGCGGAATGGAGAAGACGTTGGATGTAGCGGTCGCACTGGATGTACAAGTCGCGAGTCCACGAACAACTGGAAATTCGGAGAGGTTCGCCAATCGGCACTACTCGGTCCTGGCGGCGCGGTGACCGGTCGCGCACTCGCGCTCGTGGGTCGCGAATCACGGGGAAGATGTTGCAGCGGGAGAAATTGTGGTGATCGTTATAGTCGTTGAAAGAGCGGTCGAAGTTCCTCGCGTTCTTGCAGACCTTGGTGTTGTTGGAGATTGAACTTGTCCAAGCATAAATCGGAATAGCAGGGGAGGTCTTTGCTAACGCGGTCGAATCTCATCGCGCGCGCGTGCCCTGGGCGCGGCAAATGGAGTCGCAGCGGTAGCGATGTACTAGGTGACGGCCAGGTAGACGCCTTGCACGGCGTCCACGATGCTGTTGTCCTCAAGGTCGCATCCGCTTCCACGTAGATGCTGATGCGAGAATTGGACGGCGCAGATCATGTTGATCATCAGCACTCCGATCACGGAGGCGAGCAGAACTGCTGCAAGTGCGACATCCCAACTACCAATTCGAAACGGGGTTCGCCATGCGTCGCGCAGGCGACACCCGCAAATCCGCAGACCCTGTCGGCGTGTTTGAAGGGCTTGGCTGTTCGAGTCGTCGTCTCCGTCAGTCTGCATCGTCCCCTTTCCCTGCATACTCCTCCTCAAGCTTGTCAGCGAAAGAAACATCTAGCAATGTCGAAATCGAGTCGACAGGAAGCCCCTTCCTTTTGATTCCTTCCCCGCGCAAGGAGGGGGGGTCCCGGGGGTCCTACGAGGGTCCCAGGGGGGTCGCCACCCAGATACGTTTTCCCCCCTCTGGGGGCCCTGGGGCCTAAGAAATTACTAAGACAGGCCAAGAGTGTCCCAAGAGACCGCCGAGACGGTCCAAGAGGGTCCCTAATCGCCAAACGATCGGTCCAAAACGCCTTCACGCCCTCCACTGCCCAGGAGGTCTCCAGGACGCCCCAGGACGCCTCCAAGAGCACTCCCGAGAGGGCATTGGGGCAGAATTTATTGCTTTTTCGCTGGTTGTTTTAAGATTTGGGTGCTCTCGCCTTTTTCACTTCCCGCCGGTCCAAAACGGCGCCAGAGGTCACCAAAATCTCCCCAAGACGGCCCAAGAGGCCTCCAATGAGGCCCCAAAACAGCCCGAGAGCACCCCAAGACAGCCCAAAACGCCTCCAAGACGGCCCCGGATGCCCCCAAGACGGTTCCAAGAGTGTGCCCAGACGGGGGACGCGAACGGACATCTCGAGCCCTCGGCCCCAAGAGGCTCCCAGAAAGCCCTTAGAGGTTTCCCAGAGGCCCCAAGAGGCCCACAAGAGGTCCCCAGGAAACCCGAAGAGGCCCCTAAGAGGCTCCCAAGAGGCCCCCAAGAGGCTCCCAAGAGGCCCCGAAATTCCTCCCCAGATGCCCCCGAGAGACTTCCGAAGAGACCCCAAGAACCATCCCTGAGGACTCTGGGCCACGTCAGCGTCGTCGTCGTCGTCGTCGTCGTCGTCGCCGTCGCCGTCGTCGTCGTCGTCGTCGTCGTCGTCGTCGTCGTCGTCGTCGTCGTCGTCGCCGTCGCCGTCGTCGCCGTCGTCGTCGTCGTCGTCGTCGTCGTCGTCGTCGTCGTCGTCGTCGTCGTCGTCGTCGTCGTCGTCGTCGTCGTCGTCGTCGTCGTCGTCGTCGTCGTCGTCGTCGTCGTCGTCGTCGTCTCCCCTCAGGGTCGGCGGCACCGGCCGTCCGGCCTTCGCAGTAGGGCTGCGCCGCCTTGGGCCACGGCGGCGGCGGGCAGAGCAAATATGCATTTGTTCCCCCTTCCGAATGTTCCTTCAAACTCCATAGCCCCGAGATGGCCCCAAGATATCCGGACGACATCCAAAGACGGCCCCAGGGGGGCCCAAGACGCCCCCACGAGCCTTCTAAGAGAGAAAAGCATTGAGTGTGAGACTGCTGTGGTAAGATTTGGGCATTTTCGCCGTCTCGGTCTTAAGAAAGCCCAAGACGGCCCAAAGGCGCTCCAAGACGCCCCTAAAGGCGTTGGAGAAGGCCACAAGAGAACTCCAGGAGGTCCTGCGAGGGCCCTAGGAGGGCTCCAGACAGGCCTAAGAGGGCACCAAGACACCCCATGAGACCCCAAGACGCCCCGACGAGGCTCCTGACGGCCCCAGGAGGGCCCAAGACAGCCCCAAAACAGTCCAAGAGGGGCCCAGCAGAGCCCCAAGACGCCTCCACGCGGTCTCGAAACGCACCAAGATACTACAATTGCGGGCTGGTTTCCCGAAGGGGAAGCCTGCCGTGGTTCCTGCTCTGCGTGCTCGAGGGCTGGACCCTGGAACGTGAACAGCCAAGCGTTCAGGGAGGAGGCTGCGTCGAGGGTAAGCACAAACGGTGGGTGCCTCAGGGGCCGACCCCCCCCCCCGAAGGGCTGCGGCGCGGCCCCCGTTCCCTCATCAGGCGCTCGACTCTCGAAGACCTCTCGGCCCGACAGCCTGTGCCTGCAACTGCGCCCCGTCGGGCGCCCTGCTGAAACGCTGGCTGACTGCACCGCCAACCTACCCCCACCTGGCCCAGGGTCCCTCAGCGCGACGGGCCTGCCCTGCCCTGCCACCCCCCCCCCCGGGTGAGGATGGATGCCGCGAAGCCCGACGGAGACGGCATCCATCCCCACGTGGGGGGGCAGGTCAGACAGCGTGGGGACGGGGGTGACTCTCACGATGACGAGGCGTCCTGGGCCTCTCAAGCCACTTTCGCCCACACCACGTTCTCCACACAAGAAGGCAGGCGGCGTCACCCCGCGAGACCTCCGTGTTCCACGAGTCTTGCCGCTCGCCCAACGGCTGCGGGGCGTACTTGGCCCGCTGCAGACCATCTGGGGTGGTGACGGAGCGTATGGCAATCTCTCGACGAAGCGCAGCTTCTTGATCAGGTCTTGAGGCCAGCCTATCCCAGGATCCTGTGCAACCTCAAGCTGTTCTGTGTGGCCTGGTTGACCCAACCTCGAGACGGCCTCTCTGAAACGTGACCTCGAAGGCTAGCGCTCGCACGTAAAGATCGCAGGGCAAGGTCAGCACAGGTCGCTCCCGCATCTCCCGGTGCATGATCGGCAGCGGTCAGCTCCTCGGGGCGGTGGCAATGCAGTGCGACCACTGGCTGGACCCTCCCTCCACACCTCCCCCATCCTCCCTCAAGACGAGGACAGGATGAAGACAAATTCGGATCGACACAACTCGGGAATGACCTGTCGAGTCTGGAAGATGTATCGGGCGCCGCGGCCGCTCCAGAGCGCTCCGGAACGCCCGGAGAACGTTCCAGAACGCTCTTGAGCCATGTATCTTCAACCTATGCCTGCCCGATCCCTCCCTTTCTTTTGGAGCCTGATCCCATCCCTTCTCACTGCCTTGTCCCTCTCCCTCCCAGCATCCCTGCAGCGTGTAGCATCCCTGCAGCGTGTACATTTCGGGATACGGTTAGATCGGTCTCCCGATCGAATGGCCGTCCTGGAGCCAGTGGCAAGAGTCACTTTTTACGGATTTAGCTAGAAAGTCATCGATGCATCAGAGGTACTAGCTGCGCACGTTCTCCTTCTGGCATGCTCGAAACACAGCACGTGCTTGCGAGGCTCTACCATCGCGATTTGCTGTTTCTGCCTGCAGTGCACGCGTCTGCAGTAATTGCCTGCAGCGTTTGCACTCAATTCAAACTTCTGCATACAATGAAAACTAACGCGAGCCCCCCCCCCACCACCACACCCAGGGAAAAAAAAACAAATATGTATACAGCTATGTTTTCATGTATGTGTATATTTAATTTAAATACACATATGGGGAAAACCCGTCCCCCCCCAAAACCGGACTCCCGGGATCTGGGGCTTTGGTACCCTCCAGACGGGCCTCGAAGCGGCCACCGGGCCTCACATGGCGTTTTGCCAAGCCTTCCCAGCACACCCAGGGCGATCAGGGGGTCATCGGAGACGTCCCAGAGCGCTCCAAGAGTGATCGACGTGACCTCAAGATGGCCCAAGAGGCCTCCAGGACGGCCCCAAAGAGGCCTCAAAGAGAACTCCCAAGGAGGCCCCCCGAGGCAAAAATCATTGATTTTCTGTTGGTTTTTGGTGAATTTTAGGGTTTTCCTGTTTTCGGCGTCCCGACGCTCCAAGACGGCGGTCTTCTGGGCGTCCGAAGCCGCCTGGGAGGCTCCAAAATCGCCCCACAACCATCCGAAAGGGCTTCCAAGCAGTCGAAGAGAGCCCCAAAACGGCACAACACGGGTCCAAGATGGCCCTCAGAGAGCCCCATGGCGGCCGAAGATGGCCCAAAGACACCCTCCGAAGAATTCCAAATCGTGATTCGGTCGTACAGGGAGACCGCGGTTGGAGGCAGGGTGGCCCGAGGAAGCCCCCGAAGGCCCCCAGAATACGCCCAGGAGGTCTCCAGAAAGCCTTAAGAAAGCCTGGAACAACTTTTGTGAGGCCCCTAGAGGCTCTCCAAGGAGGAGCCTCCGCAAAAAGAGCTGAGGAGGATGGGGAGAATGCGCAGGGCATGGCGAAAATCAGGAAAAAGATGCATGGAGGAAGGATAACGAATAACATTATTATAGCGGCGATGCCAGAAAAGGCAACCAGAAGTTATCGCTAAATTGTCGGCTTGACCTTCCTGCTATTCCGTCTGCACACCAAACTTCAAGGACCAAGGTGCATGGCGCGAAACGCCACTGCAGTCTTGTATGTGTGTATATACATATATATACATATATATATATATATATATATATATATGTGTGTGTTATGACGCTGCGGAAATTGGTATATGAAGATGCCACATATGGCATGCAACTAGCACGTGCGTTCCACGAGCCAATAAAGGAAGACGGCGGCGGTCAAGTCGATCATCCTGCGAACGCGTGGTAGCACCAACTTGTGCTTGTCCACCGAAACCCTTCAATACGCACAGGCGGTGTAAGTCGGCGGCACGGCAGAGTGAAGCTAGACAAGAGTGCCAGTCTGTGTGCGGATTTAGGGGGCCGCACAGGGCCAAACACAAACGCGTAAGCAGATGCTGTCGCATCCAATCCAGGAATCGGGAAACCCCAGTGGGCCCGCACCCGAAGTCACTGTGGCGAAGGCTCACTCGTGTGTACCGTCGAACACGGGGTGCGTGCCACTGGTGGGGCTGAAAGAAGTTACACATCGGGCTCAACCATGTCCTGAAGATCACGGATCAGGGCGGAACGTCAAGGCCGAGGACACCCGGGTAAGGGGCAGAGCCTGGGACATCAGCGGCGGCCAAGGCACAGGACTGCGCTGGGGTCGATGGACAGCCCTAAAGATGGCCGAACAAAGGAGAAAATCGACGACGGCCAGGGCATTCCATTCGGGTTGGCGGTTAAAGGGCAACTTTTGGGAAGTCTGCGTGGGAACGAGAAGGCCGAGTAACCTGGCCATCAAACCGTACTAAACCAAATTAAGCACAATACTAAGCTGGATTCAGAGGGGTCCGCCAGATTAAGCGGTATCAGGCCGAGTGGGACGGCTTTCGACCACTAATATAACAATACCAAAACTGATCATACCACCTGCGAAAAGTTGCATCCGACACTCGGCTACACGTAAAGGTGACCCAGACATACGTGACCTTTGGTGCGCGGTTTTCGAATCGTTGCATGCGGCGCGGCAATACCGGCCTGCGTGGCTGCGACCTCCGAAGCACACACAAACACACACACACACACACACACAAACGCACGCACGCACGCACGCACGCACGCACGCACGGACACGCACACACTTTTTGTGTCGGCGGCTAGACAGAGTGACTGCGCTGGCGGAATGAGCATGTGTAGGACATACAAAAGCGAATTAAGCCGCGATGCGCGTGGGGAAGAAAAAGAAGCCCGGCGCGGGCGGGAGGGAGGGGAGACCAGGCCCACTAAAAGCGGGGCGGCCGTGTTGCCGAGGTCGATGCGACCTCCAGGCGACCGGGCGGCGACCGGAGAAGACCACCGCAGGGGAGGGGCCACGGGGGCGCTGGGGAAAGAGCCCAGAAGGATGGAGCAGAAAGCATGAGCAGGCGAAGGCGCCGAGATCCGTGGGACCTGCGAGGCGCCCAGCGCGAGGCTGGCCAAGGTCACCCCAAGCCGGAGCCGAAGTGGCCACGGCGGGGGGGGGGCAGCAGGGCGGAGCAGGCAATCGACGACCCCGGCCCGGCGCGGGGGCACGTCGGCCCGGCCTGAAAACCAGGCAAAGGGGGGCGGCGGGTGCGCCAGCTGAGGACAGCCAGGCACCTGGAGCCAGGGAATCCCTGTGGAATGGTGCCGGCGCCACGGTCCCAGGGGCGGCGGGAAGGAGGCCACGGACGAAAGCCCGACCAAAAGCCTGCAGAAGGCCGGCGACACACACACACACACACACTGAGCCGCACCTGGACGGCGCACTGGCACGGAAAAACTACGAACTCGCATACGCATAAAAAAATGAAAGAAATTACGTCAACACTCGGTTACCTGCAAACGGCACGGGCGGGGGAGAGAGCGGAGAGGAGGGGGCGAGGGAGAGGGGGGGGAAGGGAGGGGAAGAAGGGGCACAAAATAATCAGCTAGAGGGCGCAGCGCCGCCTGACTGCCGCATGCTATTCCGAAGAATTCGGCAGCAGACTCTGAAGAGTGTCGGGGTCGTTGCCGGCCACTGCTAGGGCCTCAGCGTGCAAGTACGTCGCCCATTGCAGCCGGGGTCGCCCTTTCGCTCACGGGGACTTCCAGTTGCGAGGCAAGAAAGAAAATGGTTGACCATCTTCAAACACCATCCTTCTTGGTAAGCTTTCGGCTCTGTACTGGGCATACTTTCCATACATGGCCAACTTGTCGCTCCAATAGAACCGATGTCCAAGGCGGCGCGCGGGCACGCTCGCGCGCATCAGCATTCCTCACGCGGGATAGCCAAGCAGGAGAGATGTTTTAAACTACGCGCAAGCACCTGACTTGGAAACCATCAATGCGATCCTTGTCCGCTTCAAGGAGCACGCACGGTTTGAGCTCATATAACAACTGGGAAAATACGCACGATAATTCCTTACTCTCGTCGCGTTGGCGTGGTTCCAGACAGCACATCACTCCTGAAAAATGAATTGCGCTTCGCCCGAGAGCCGCGCAAGCTCTGCTCGCGGGCCCCCGCTTATGCCGACACGACCACCCAGATAAACAGCATGCTCTTTGACCGCGATTGCGCTACCATTCGGGCCCGATACATGTCAATCCGATCGAATACTGAGCAGCACTATTTTGGTCAGAAATGAGATCCAGGCCGCACACCATCCCGGCATCTACCGCCAAATCCACATGCGCTTGCAGGGCGCCAGGGTCCGTGGCCACGAGCATCGCATCGTCTGCGCGCAGAACATCCTCAGCAATCACGCGTTGCTTGCATGGCCTGCCGGGCCGTTCCAAGTTTAGGCTTGCATCCACCATCTCTGAAAAGATCGACATGACAAGGGTGAACAAGCACGGCGAAAGCGGACAACCTCGCGCAATTCCAAATGGTCGCGCATACTTGCGCGATTCGGCACCTCCGTCTTGCACGATACACTCGCGCGCTTTCTAGATGCCCTGGACCACGTCGACCACCCCAGCTGGCACTGAAAATTGTTGCAGTGCTTCTACGAGACCTGCTGGGTAAATCAGGTCAAACGCTATACTCCAATACAGATGAAGAAATAACAACTCGCCGTCTTTGTCTTCCAGCGCAACGCCAATCAACCTCCTCGCCAAGAACGGAACTTCGCTGGCCCCACGGCGCGGCCGGGCACCATTTCGAATATTGAAATTCACGCCGCCTCTCCTCACCTTCTCCGGATTTGAATCGACGCACTCACAAGCCGGCTAATATCCTGCACCCCACCGCGAATGCATATATAGGCCTGTCGCTCGAAGGCAAAATCGTCGCCAGCCTCGCAAAAGGGCCGCCACGGACGCTTCCCGCCACTCTTCTGGGACGCCCATCTTGCCCCAGCACTCGATGCACAAGGGCGTCAAGATCTCCAACGCGCCGCCGTTGTCCAACAGTGATTTCACTTGTTCTGGCGGCGCGCCGTCGGCCCCCAAAGCTCGCCACACGAAAATTGTTAAGG